TGCTGTGAGGCGACAGTACTACCTACTGTGCCACTGCCTCGCCCATGATGTATATTAAGTGACCTCAAATTGTTTCCATGTCTTCTCGCATGTGTTTGGTTGTGAAACGTAGTTTGTACAAAGTTGTCGGCGATTCTTCCTATTTTAAAGTCATGCAGTGTGAACCACCTTGTCGTCTATACATCTTCAATTCAATTCAATTCAGCTTTATTTGTATAGCGCTTTTACAATGTAGATTGTGTCAAAGCAGCTTCACATAAATGGTCATAGTAAGTGGAACAGTGTGGTTCGGGTTTTAGTGTTTAAGTTCAGTTCAGTTCAGTTTAGCTCAGTTCAGTGTGATTTAATCATTACTGAGAGTTCAAACACTGAAGAGCCAATTCATCGATGCATAGCTCTACCAATCCTGAACCATGCGAGGCAGTGGCGACAGCGGAGAGGGAAAAAAAACTTCACCTGATGGGAGTGAAGAAAAAAAACCTTGAGTGAACCAGACTCAGTTGGGCACGACCATTTTAATTTCTCCGCTGGCCAAAAGTCTTGTGCAGAGCTTCATTCGCCGTGGTTTAGGCAGGAAGATGTACATCTTGCAGTGTAAACAAAGTACCGACGGAACGCTAGCCCATGCAGTGTGAAAACGTCTACTTTAAAAATCATGCAGTCTGAACTCGGCCTAAGGAAGAGTTGTTCCCTTTGACAGAGAATCCTTTCCAAGGTTATCAATCTCACCCAACTTGGACTACTGTGTGTGTGTTTTTTTTTGTTTTTGGTGATAAGTTGAACTTTTTTATAGCCCCGTTTAGACTAATACATTTTAGTTTTAAAACGCACAAGTTTTGCTATGGTTACACTATCCGTGCACACTACGCCGGAGTCCTCGAGTGCAGAAAACAGCGTTTTGGAAACGCTGAAGAGGCTGTTTTCATTCTAAAACGCTGCTGCTCCATCTCAGTGTGGATGGGGGAAAACAGAGACATCTTCAGTTCAGATGTCAGTTCAAACAAACAGTTCAGTCCTGCATCCTCTCCTTGTAAGTTCAGACTTTTTGATATGAAAAACAAACTCCTGAGGACACAGGTAAATCTTCAAAGGGAACAGTGTACATTATAACCTCATTCACATCATCCTGCAGGCTATGTTTCACTATCTTAACAATAAAATGGAAACATGATATAAGGAACTGCCTATTTTCATTTTGATATTAGCAACTTAACAGATAGCAAAAATGTTGAGGCGTCGCGCTGCATATGTATATGATTGTCATCTTCACTGTAAGCATATTTGTAAGAAAACGAAGCCTATAACATAACTGTCTCCTTTCATTCTCATTGAAAATACGAAACATACCTTCTCTTTTGCAAAATATCAGTTTTAGTTATCAATAATGGAAAGTGGGAGAAAGTCTCAAAAATACACACACACGCATCCAGGGGGAGTCGTACGTGAAAGAGGATTTGCACATTCTCATTCAGGATGAACTCGCAAGTTTTAAGCATTCAAAACTTTTTGTACACTCTTATACATTTGCAAATCGTGTTTTGCATTTGTGAAACGCATTTTATGAAAATGTATTTTTATTTTGTGCACATGAACATTTTTTGTGAATTAAATAAATATTTTACTTCGTGAATTTGGTTTTATGCATGTGAATTTGGCTACGCATGTGTACATCGTGTCTTTTGCATGAATTATTATTGAGTCTAATTTGTCTCCATATTATCGCTGTTAATGCTTTTGTTTTTGTACTGAATTAGATGTACATAAGCAATGTCTTTACTGTTCTAACAGAAAAACAGTTTTTACTATTTGATGTTTTTAAAGATATTTTTTTATTTGATGAAGATTTTGATCCAATTTGATGAAGATTTCAATTCACAGATTTTCATTCTTGATGTTAAATACTTCAAAAGACATCAGAGTGTGATTTATTGAATTTCATTCTTGGGGAAAACAAGATGGCTATTTACATCACTACAAAGGAGACAGAATCAATATTTTAATATGGTGTTTTTAGTTAAGTCAAGATTTTTTATTTACTTTAAGTTGTATAAAAGTGCATGTTGTTTAGGAAAAATATTTCAGAATATTTGGTTCACTGAAGGAGTTTTATGTTCTGTTACTGATGACAAACTTCACTTCACAAATTTGATTTTATTTTTTGTAAGTTTGATTTAAAAATAATAAATCTTTCTCTTTCGCTCGCTCTCTCTGCACCTGCTTCTCATTTTCCCTGCTGTGACTTAATGACATGCTTCTCATCAGAGCCACTTCAGCTCTGCACTGCATTCATACACCACACTGGCATTCATTCCCCAAATTTCTCTCTCTTTTGAATTCTCTTCATTCATTCAGTCTTTCAATCTACCATGTTCCATAATTTGCATTTATTGGCTTGTGCCTATCTAATTTATGGAGCTTGTGCTCTCTGGATTTTAAAGGCATAAAGGCACTCATATGCCAAGTGTACCCATGAGCAAAATGTTCACAAAGAGTCATGGTTTTTAGAATCATAAGCCTAATGCTATTTGTATAGTTGCATTGCAATTAGTCTTGTGCAGCCAGACCTCTGACTGAAGGCTGAAGGTTTAAGAACTATAGCCGCTTTGAATGGTCAAGGACCACCCACTATGTTATGTGAATAAAAGGTTAACCAACCAACCATTTCGGTTTGTGCCATGTCATGTTTAGGAGCATGAAAATATCTGCACACTCAACTCCTGGAAATTCTCTACATTTAAACCAATCAGAGGACAACTGAAGATCTGCAAAAGTGTTTCCAAAAAAGTGTGCCATAAGCATCTGATGTTTAGCCAAATGTCTGTAGGCAGTGCATCTGAGGCTGAGACTACATTGCAATAAACTGAGACCAATATGAATATAAAAATGCTACATGAACTAACAAACACACAAACTGTAGCAATTAATTGAAAATGTAAATAAAACTAAACAATTATTAATTATAAATATAACTGCAAGCAGGCGACACAGTGGTTAGCACTGTCGACTCACAGCACGAAGGTCGCTGGTTCTTGGCATTTCTGTGTGGACTCTGCATGTTTTCCCCGTGTTTGCATGGGTTTCCTCCGGGTACTCACATGTGTTTTGTAGACTTGTAGAAGGCATTCGACCATGTCCCTCGTGGCATTCTGTGGAGGGTGCTGTAGAAGTATGGGGTCAGAGGCTCTTTGTTAAGGGCTGTCTCGTCCCTGTAGGAACAGAGTAGGAGTTTGGTTCGAATTGCCGGCAATAAGTCAGACTTGTTTCCAGTGCATGTTGGGCTCCGGTAGGGCTGCCCTTTCACCAATTCTGTTCATAATTTTTATGGACAAAATTTCAAAGCATAGCCTTGGGCTGGAGGGGGTCTGGTTTAGGGACCACAGGATTTCATCTCTGTTATTCGCAGACGATATGTTTCTGTTGGCTTCTTCAAACATGGACCTTTAGCATGCACTGGGGTGGTTTGCTGCCGAGCGTGACGTGGCTAGGATGAGAATCAGTACCTCCAAGTCTGAGGCCATGGTGCTCTACCGGAAAAGGTGGTTTGCCATCTCCAGGTTGGAGGAAAGTCCTTACTCCAGGTGGAGGAATTTAAGTATCTTGGGGTTTTGTTCACAAGTGAGGCAAGGATGGAGCGTGAGATTGACAGGCAGATCGGTGCAGTGGCAGCAGTAATGTGGTCGATGTAGTGGCCCGTTGTGGTTAAGAATGAGCTGAGCCGAAAGGCAAAGCTCTCGATTTACTGGTCAATCTACATTCCTACTCTCACCTATGGTCATGAGCTTTGGGTCATGACCGAAAGGACAAGATCTCAAATACAAGCAGCTGAAATGAGTTTCCTTCATAGGGTGGCTGGGTGCACCCTTATAGACAAGGTGAGGAGCTCAGTCACCCGGAAGAAGCACGGAGTAGAGCCGCTGCTCCTCCAATTCGAGAGGAGTCAGCTGAGGTGGCTTGGGCATCTGTTTCGGATGCCTCTAGGACGCCTACCTAGGGAGGTGTTCCAGGCCTCGGCGAAGACCCAGGACATGCTGGAGGGACTATGTCTCTCGGATGGCCTGGGAACGGCTTGGGATCCCCCGAAAGCCGGAAGAAATGTCTGGGGAAAGGGAAGTCTGGGGTTCTCTCCTAAGACTGCTGCCCAAGCGACCTAACCCCGCATAAGCGGATGAAAATGATGATGTTGATGATGAAAGAATAACTGCAAGCAGCTACTGTATCATCAGGGTCACAGCCTATTCACCTTATTCTCAGCTGTCGAGCGGGCGCTGCCATTTGAATCTTTTTGTCTCGCGACTTCCGGTCACATTCACTTCCATTCATTTTTTGACGTTAACAGCTGCTCGTTACGCTGCTTGATGTTGCAATTTAATATTTTCTTATTATATTATGCTTCTTGGTCTGTGTAGTCATGCAAACATTTGTTTGTTGAGCAAGTAGTTTGGCCATTTTCTGCCGTTTATTATTCCTAGTCATTTCTCCCATAGGCGACTGAATCTAAACATCTAAACAGTGTCTTTAGATGACTCCCAATCTGTTGAAATATTATACTTTTAGGTTATTACTTGTGGGGATGGGAAGGCAGACTTGTAGAACACTTATGTGCACCCCTGCCTATAGAAATTTTATTCTATCCACAACCATCGCTTTACCATTACCATTAACAACATTGAAAAAAGACAGACAAATGTACTGGCATCCGTGCTAATATGTTTTTAAATAATACTGGCAATCAAATTGATGATGCTCTTCAAGGACAGATGGAGTACTTATTCAAGGTTGTAAAAACAAAAACAATTAAAAACAAATTATTACAACATTATTGTTAATGAAACATCAAATAAAATTTGATTTTATTTATTTTTTGAGGAGCATATTGTTCTTCTGTTAAATACGAATATTTATACATTACTATTGAAATGCTCACTTGGAATTTCACTAAACACTTCTTTCAATACTAGATTTTACATTTTTTCAGTTAATCTTGTTTCTGTCTTCTACAGATTCTTTGTTAACTTCCCCTCAGCAAAGCAGTATTTCAGTCAGTTCCAGGATATGGAGGATCCGGAGGAGATGGAGAAAAGCTCTCAGCTGAGAAAACATGCCCGACGTGTCATGAACGCCATTAACACAGTTGTGGAGAACCTACATGACCCAGAGAAAGTATCATCTGTGCTGGTACTGGTGGGAAAAGCACATGCCTTTAAATACAAAGTGGAACCAATATACTTCAAAGTAAGTATGATAATGTTAAAGCCCACTTGAGCCCACACTTTTTTAAATGGTTTCATAAATGTAGCCTTGTTTTTAGTGTCCTATATAAATGTTTTGCATTTATTTTAAGTTTTATTTAAGGAAAATTGTATTTGAATATATGCCGGTGAGCAAATATGTAGCAATCAGCCTTCAATGTCAAATTTGAACTAATACATTTGTCTTAAAGTGATAAAACACAAAGTTAATATATATTTGAAGTCAGAATTATTATCTCCCTTTGAATTTTTTTCCCAAATGATGTTTACCAGGAGGTAAATTATGTATGTATGTGTGTGTGTGTGTGTGTATGTGTTTGTGTGTGTGTATATATATATATATATATATATATATATATATATATATATATATATATATATATTTATTTATTTATATATTATAATCTTGGAGTTAATCTATATTAAAACGGTTCATTTAAATTCTTCCGAAGGCATTCAAAATATGTTTGCTACCCAAATAATCTTTGAGAATGGGTTTCTCAAGTCAGGTGGTGCATTAGACCAGGGGCTCATCTGTTTCCAAAATGCATCACAATCTGCATCTTAAGCCGTGGCGCAGTAGGTAGTGCTGTCGCCTCAGAGCAAGAAGGTCGCTGGTTCGAACCTCTGCTCTGTTGGCATTTCTGTGTGGAGTTTGCATGTTCTCCCTTGGTTTGCATGGGTTTCCTCCAGGTGCTCTGGTTTCCCCCACAGTTCAAAGACATGCTGCAGGTGAACTGGGTAGGCTAAATTGTTCGTAGTGTAAGAGTGTGTGAGTGTATGAGGGTGACAGGCCCAGACGATAGGCCGGCCGGAATGTGTAAAAAAAAGTCGTTATCATATGGACAAGTCTAAATGGAGGACTTGTTCCAAAAGAGCTGACCCCGCAACCATACGGGACTAAGGCCAAAGAAGTAGAAGACTGCAATCAAACTATTATCGTCATGTAGGAATTTTTGACATATTTTTCAACAAGATCCACACATACGGCGCACACAGACGCACACACATCGCAAAATGCGTATGTTTTTTTTCCTTCCATTTGGCATGGATTATTAAATTCCATAACACCCTCACCAGTCCTTACTCCGAATTTGCATCTAATACTCCAGTTTGTCACAGGGCATGAATGAAATGGTCAATGGTACTAAAATAATCCATGACAGAAGCTCACTCAAAAGTGAAAGTGAAACACTTCCGTCATTCCTACTACTTTCAGAACATAAATTGAGATATTTTACCATATGAAAATGTAATGAAATTATGAAAATTGTGAAACTAAAGCAATAGTGCAGAGATCTGGCCCCCGCATCAGGTCAGGTCAGGTGTGTTTAAATAAAACTCTCTTGAACTCTAAAGGGGAAAAGAAAGCAAAAGAAATATGTTGTTAAATCAATTTTAGCGGACATGCAACTGCCTGTCATTTTCACATTCATTTTTCAGTTAGGGATTAGGTCTGTTAGAGTAACCTAATAAAAATGTTTTGTTGTACACTGCACAGTAGTCTACACTATAATTAATATTATAATTTATTATATTCATTATTATTAAAACTAAGGTATGCAATCCCAGATAGCAAAATACACTCGGGCCAGTTCCGGCTAGATTGTCGCCTGCCGGAGACTTACCCCTCGGCCCAACTTCGGCTGCCGGACTCGGGCCGGATGCCTGTGGACTCACTGCCCGATTCCGGCCCGAATCAAGCGGGCCAGATGCGGCGGCCGTAAGCGAGCCGACGCTGCAAATCCGCGCCGGAATCGGCGCGAGGGTAATGTGCGCTGCGGCCCGGAGCTGGCGCGACTCCGAATTTATACACCTTAAACCCTTTGATATTACATTGGTACTTGATATATGGTATTACAACCATTTGAATTTATATAACAGCAAACACAGGCTATAATGTAAACACAAAGTGTAAGCACTGCGTTTAACCTTTAAATAAAGTGCAAACTGCATACATATTCTGTAACGAAAATAATCAGACAAATGACAAAATAAATAAATGTTAAACGTTTATTGATTGCAAGAAAAAAATAGTACTAAAATTTTATAAATAATTTTGAAGTGCACAAGAATATCAATATAAAAACAACAATAAAACAACACAATAAAGACACACAGAAAGATTTAAACAAAAAATCTAAAAATTACACACAAACACAGATGTTTTTAAAACAACCCTGTTTTCCCAATAGACTTGAATTAAAAATTTGTAAAAAAACAGCTAAATTTTATATAAACCTAAATATAGAAACCAATTTAAGATATAGCAAGAAACATCTTAAAAATACCAATGACAATCCGTAAAATATCCAAGTCAAACTTGTAAAAAGTACTGCAGAATTCTGAAGAAACATCTTGAAACATTTTTTAATAAAACATTAAAATTATAATAAACAAACAAATATATATATATATATATATATATATATATATATATATATATATATATATATATATAATTGCAGAAGTATAAAGTCAAACTTATTTTTAAATAAACTTGAACAAAATCAATTGCACAAACAGCAAGACATGAGTGAGATGATTATACATTTCATATATATACACGTCTTGTGCAATTTTATATTTATAATTTTATTTGTATTACGTTTATTAAAAATGTATCAAGATGTTTCTTCAGAATTTGGCGCACACACATACATACATACCATACATATATACACACACACACACACATATATATACATATACATATATAAATGCAAATGAAAGAAACAAATTGTTCAAGTATCAGGGAACATCCTAATACACTTAAAATGTTGTTTAAAAAATAAAACAAAATAGTGATGTAGACATTTGACACATTAGCTTTCTCTTCTTTCTTCCTCCACCCCTGTCAGGGGCAAGTTGTAGCTACCTTGTAATGCATTTTTCAACTTCTTTATCAGTGGCGTGGTATAGACATTTGTCCTCACTCCATCTGTGATTAAAAGATAAACAGATAATTAGTAGTGAACAAGTACTAATGTAAAAAAAAAGAAAAAATTAGGAAAAAAGTAGGCTACCTACGAAGCAAAAAAAAAAAAACTATAAAAAAAACAAATAAACTTAAAACACTTTGAAATTAGCAAGAGCTTGAACTTACCAGTTTCTTCATTTGTTCGGGCTGCTCCTTTAGTTGATTTTCAAGCTTTTCCAAATCAAATTGGCCAAAGGAAGGTCAAATGTGTTTACATCTGGAATTTCATCACGTCTGTTTTGGTTTTGTGAGAATCAGGCCCAGCTGCTGCTTTATGACGTTGCATGATTTTAAAACTTCAGTCAGTCGTGCTAAAAAAGAAAAATAACAGATTAGTATAAATCAACCTGTAGCTTATTCTCATACAACTTCTGTAAATACAACAGTGGGTTAGACACTGCTGATATTCTCTAGTTGAACTTTACTTTCTAGCTGCATTAAACCTTAACAAATTTAGTGATGTCTTCAATTCTTACAAAAACATCACGAGATGCAATAAGTTCTGTCTTGATCTCAAACTGCACTAGAACAAAGACTGTAAATGTTCATAGGTGTACCGAGGGACAGATGCAAAAAAACAAACGTTGTCGCGGGCCAAATTTTACATACATCACACAGACACCTGTATATACATATATATATATATATATATATATATATATATATATATATATATATATATATACAGTTGAAGTCAGAATTGTTAGCCCCCCTAAATTATTAGACACCGTTTATTTTTTCCCCAATTTCTGTTTAACGGAGAGTTAAACATTTTTTTCCACACATGTCTAAACATTAGTTTTAGTAACTCATTTCTAATAACTGATTTATTTTATCTTTGCCATGATTACAGTAAATAATATTTGACTAGATATTTTTAAGACACTTCTATACAGCTTAAAGTGACATTTAAAGGCTTAACTAGGTTAATCAAGTTAACTAGTCAAGTTAAGGTAATTAGGCAAGTTATTTTATAACAATGGTTTGTTCTGAAGACTTAAGGGGCTAATAATTTTGACTTTAAAATGGTTCATAAAAAAATTTAAACCGCTTTTTATTCTAGCCGAAATAAAACATAAGTCTTTCTCCAAAAGAAAAAAATATTATCAGACATACTGTAAAAATGTTCTTGCTCTGTTAAACATCATTTGGGAAATATTTAAAAAAGAAGAAATAAATCAATGAGGGGCTAATAATTCAGACTTCAACTGTGTGTAGATAGACAGACAGACAGACAGACAGACAGACAGAGAGACAGACAGAGAGACAGACAGACAGACAGACAGACAGATAGACAGATAGATAGATAGATAGATAGATAGATAGATAGATAGATAGATAGATAGATAGATAGATAGATCATAACAAGAACTGCTGCTTAATTGAATGCATGTAATAGCGACATCCGGTGGTTATTTATTGAATTACGTTCATTTTTGTATAGCGGGCCAGATTCTATTGATATTTATAAAAAGCCTCGCGGGCCGCAGATGGCCCGCGGGCCGTAGTTTGGACACGCCTGGTGTACTGGAATGTACAGTATCTGTGCATCTTGATGGTGGTCTTAAGATTTCTGCCAAAGTCATTGATGGTGATGGTACTTGTGGTGCTGCATTGATTTCTGAAATCTTCATACCTGCCTTTTATCCAGCCTCTTTGTTCCAAGTAATTTTTCTTCATCACGATATAGATGTGTCTATACTGTCCCTTAATCAGATACATTTACAAAACAAAACATCACTTTAGTATAGTGCCAGGTCAAAACTCACAGGTTGTAATAGATCAATGACATAATGTTGACAGTATGTGTTTATAATAATTGCAAACAAACCTGTTCTGTCTTTAGATGTATGACAGGCGATCATCATCCTCATCTGTCTACCAGTCAGAAATCACAGTTGCGTGTGGATGTTTGAGTCGAGCTTCCTCATATGCATCTATAATAAAACATCACATTGTTGTTAACCTCCCGTAAAGAAAAGTTCAAATCCTGAAATACTATC